CCCCCCCCAAAAAAAAAAATTTAGAGTTGCAGGGCAACAGGGTAGGGCCAGCTTTGGTTAAATTGAACAGGTAACCCTAACCTAAGTGAACATGAAGTCATGAACCACCCAGTGGAAGTAAGGAATTGCGTGAATCAATATTTGAGCAAGACATCTACTACTTGCTAGCTGAAGGAAAAGTGTTACAGTTTGAAAACAATTTAAAAAGAAGCAACAATGGGAGACGTTTTTTACTTCTGCACAGTCAATTACATAAAAGAGTAGAAAATGGCATTTTTAAGGAACTTCCATTCATACAATAGGTAAGAAAGTAATGTTGGCAATTCATGCACAATCGAGAGCACACTTACCATAGAGCATCTTTTTCACATCACTTGCTCTACGAGTAGCCTCAAGCTGTTCCTCAAAAGATCCTGCCTTAGAGACCTTACTTCCTACAGGTTGTCTCGTGGTTCCTTGATCTGGTTCGCGATTGTTGATTTCAACTGGATTTCTTAATTTTATAAAGAAAATGCCATTCGGCCAGAGAACCTAGGAACCAAATCAGCAACAGACCCAAAAAGTCACTACCAAATGATCCTTCTACATAACTTCCTCATTTTATAATCTTAAAGTAGCACAATGATGACACAAGTGAAAGTCGAGAAAAAAGCCAATAAGCAAAGAAATTAAGATGATATAGCCAAGTTCCATACATTATGAGTATAGCATGCTCCATTATTTTAGTTGACTAAACCACATTATAAATCTTAGTCTAAAAACAAACATTATAAAGCTTACAAACAAATATAAAGGTGCATACTTCTCAACATTTTATGTTGCAGCACAAAGTAACAATTCTTTCCCGACATTGATTTCCAAATGCTGTTCTCTTTCCATCAGATAGCTATTTTCACATATGCCACATCAAGTTCAAAATAAGTATTGCAGTAAGACATACTATTTTACAGAAGTTGCAGCAATTATAGATGGCAGACTTTGAAATCTAATAAGGAAAAGACTTAGCTGTAAGTGTCATGCTAAATGATTCAAATACAACATTAAATACATTAAAATAATAACAACAATACTATTACCATTTTCAAAAAAAATAAAATAACTAAGTTTATGATACCAATGATCAAAGATCGAATTATCAAATATTCACGAATTGCCACATTCATTTATTTTATAAAAAAATCTCAAAGAGGAAATCCATGGGTGTAAAAAGATTTGAGGCATAACATGTCAAAACTCCCAAAAGGGAACCTGCACTAAGGTTTGCTAAAAAGGGACTCTGCACCATTGTCCTTTTAGGAATTCCAAACTATGTCTCTTCACCAATCAACAATATTTTCCATTTGTCATTTAGTTAATGCAATCTGTAAATAATGTAACTTCAGAAGCAGAAGCCAAAAAGAATTTGGCTTCAGATGTAAGCAATTAAGGCGGAAAAGTTACAATCAGAAAACTAAATGCGTACATCTTTAATCCATCCGATTCCCTGAGCAATAACATCCTCTCTCCGTAGCCAATGGATTTGCCTTAACAGCCAATCATCAATAGCATCCTCCATCATTAACTGCATTATTTCCTTTGATATCCAAAATACTTGTCTTCTACAAGAACAATAATGGCTATGTTAGATGTTCTTTAATGATGGCATATCATGGAAATAATATGCATACAAGATATCTTTCATGCAGTATCAGCAGTTTTAAACTTGCAATAAAGTTGACACCAAGCAGAGCAATAATGCAGAGACAAGAAAAATGGGGAATATAGTTGACGGACATACAAACCCCTATATTTAATGTGCTGGCAGCCAGACAGGGGTATTTTAATAAAAAGCAGGGTTATTTTGGATAAACAAAAAGTAGATACATTGCTAACCTGCTACATGAATCTACTACCTTCATGTCGTAGGTCAGGAAAACATAAATATTAAAAATGTATAGATGTTCAAAATCTGTGAAGTCCTGGACAGCCTTCTCTCCTTCATGTATTCCATTGGAAATATTGTGCAAGCTTTAGTAGTTCAGCTTATCAGGATGGAAGATTGTAATTTTGGCATAATTACAAATCAAAAAATGTTATATTTGACCCTTCTAAGTCATTTTTAGGAACCAAATTAAGCATGAAAATGTTAAAGATGGATGATGAAACCGGTTCAATAGTTAAACTATTAAAGAGAAGTTAAATGTAGGAAAACAGTTCTCAATTTGATACCAGCAGGGAATGCAATAGGAAGTAGAGAAGTACAAAACATGTTGTTGTCACCTTAGCCAGCCTCTTCTATTCAGCTGAAAAATCTTGTCCACTAAATTCAAGATAGGTACACTTAAATTGGGCGGTGTCCACTGAAAGAAAAAAAACACCCATGAAAATGAGTAAGTAAAACTGAAGCATGTGAAGCACCCCTCAGCTGGAAGGAGAAATATATCAGATGAAATACTGTTGATATCATTTGATCAGAAGGTTGACAAGAACAAGATGGATATACCTCTGGTGGCACTCCAGCTGGATCCTCTTGTTGACTGGGAACTACTGCCAAGCTTGTGTCTGGAAATCCTCCAGAACCGTACTTCGAGTCAGCCGCTGAGCTTCTCAGCTCTTCGTCACATTTAACCACCCGAGGGGGTAATCCTTTTGAATTCAACTCATTGTCCGAATGCCACCCATTAGCTTCTGAACTAGGTCCTACTTCCTCCTGCCCGTGGCTTCCATCTTTATCACCATCATCATTGTCAGAAAAGCTATTAAGTGACTCGGAGGTACTTTGGGTTAAAGCCAGTTTATTCATTTCCTCCACATTCCAGGACAAATTTCTGTCTGAAGTAGAGGTAGTAGGTTCATAAGAAGAAGATGAAGGAGAGCCAACAACTTTACGCATCAAACCATCAGAAACGCCTTTAAATTGACGCACAATATCATCCACAGCATCATCCACGTTAACTGTTGTCACAAAGGATAAGTTCAGTCAGATTTTAACAAATAAAGTAACTACCATACACTAGGTAACTCACTCATTATGTTCATGCTTAAGCAATCAGAGAAAGAGAAAGTATATATTAAGGTAAAAGAACAGTCATCATTAGTAGTTATTCACTTAGCTGACGGATTGAATGTGACATTAAAGCTTCTTAAGCATTGGTACACCACAAAGGTTTCATTAGTGAACATTTTAATAACTGCTCACTTAAATCCCTACACAGAACAGCCAAAAACCTTTCCTAATAAATAGCCTTGAAAATAATCCATCCTCCGCCTTATTTTTTATGCATGGAAATGATTTTATCCATTTTATAGTCAAGGAGTGGTGGTGCCAAAATGGTCCAAGAAAGGCCAAGAAGAGGAAAATTAAGAGAAGAAACTTTGGTTGAGAAACGGCATAAGACTGCCCTGCTGAGGTCTATCAAGATTGTAGCAGTTCTGATACCATGTGAAAGTTTGAGCATCCAACCCAAACCTTAAGACATAAATGAAGTTGCCAAAGACCTTATAAACCTAATTGGATTTCACTATATACTCGACATGTGTAACTGACTCTAAGGTTCACTCATGTATTTGAATGTGGACTTACAAGTGCGAGAATGACCTACAAAGTTAGGCTCAAATATCATGTGAGAGAATGATAAAAGAGAAAGATATATTGATAACTTGACAATTCAGTGACTAGAAGACATTCATATTTAAAGGTGTCAAACATAATACACATGGTGTACTTGTCCTACACGGGGCAATATCTAACTTAAGAACTTAACTCTTTTCTAACACAATTCAATGAGCAACTACTTCAGGTTCACGACTGGAGATGCTATAATGTGAAAAAAAGTAACACAATGTTTTGCCTCACATTGTGATTTAATTAGTACATCACTCTGTTCAAACTAGTTTTACAATTTAGCAAAACGGACTCCCCAACTCACTACAAGAATATTGCATTTTTTGCAGTTGGAATCAGACATCCACACTGCATCCTATGTGAAGAAACATGGTACAAGTTATTCTGGCCTTCACTGGAGATTTATTATTGCAATCATCAACAGGAATACCCACAGCACTCCATGTCTACGAGTATATAGATGTCAAAATATCCAAATGGAAACACCACTCATCATCAAATAAATAAAGAACACAAACATGTTGGTTGAGAGAAGTTGAAGTACCTGCCAGTGTTCTCATCACTGAAGAAGATTTTCCAAAGGAGTAGTTCTTCATAGACACATATCAGGTATTAGTTTGGGTTAAAACAGCCTAGATCTGTAGGAAATAATGGTAAAAGACCTAACAAACTCCAAGAAAACATACCTTGGAAGAGGCACTGAGAAAATCCCACACTTCATGTTGCTCAGCCACATTGGCAATTGACAAGAGATCCTGTTGGAGAAAAGAACATCTAAAGCAACCAGAAGGCACAAAATATTCCAAATCGATATAAAAGCAGTGCAGAACCGTACTTGCAGATATTTGTCAAGCTGAATGCAACGATGATGAACGAATGCATCTTCTGTACTCGATGAAAATATCCTCTTAGGAGGCAAATGTAACGTGTAATTAGGAATATCCTTCAGGTGTCTATGCAATCTCTCGAAGTTCCTATATCTGCTTAAACGGCACCCCAATAGGATGATATCAGCTAAACAAAGCCAGAGCGAAAGTTGAGAAAAGAACTTGTTCAGTGTTTAAAGGAACTTCTTTAAATGCAATAAAAATCATAACACAATAACATGAATTGAAGATGTTTTCAGATGACAAGGCACCATTAAGTAGTTAAAGTATGACCATAGAAACAATACCTTCTCTTTACGAACCAAGTGTTATTATTGGCATCAGTAACTGCAATGGAATATACAGCAAAAGATTTTGAGCCCAGCTTCTCAAAATATGCACCCAAAACCTAGGGGAGGAGGAAACAGTAGTGAGCGACAAGAATCTTAAAAGGCAGAAGGCAAAGGTAAGGATTTGAGACATAGCTCATGAAGTTGATTATACAACACCACACAAGTTTTTAATTTCTTATGAGCCAGCTTGACCTCTTGGGACATATGTTGGAGTACGAGGAAAAGATTGAGGAGAATGCACATACCCTGCACTTCAGCTTTGGACGATGATTTCCCTCACCACGAATCACCATGTCTGAAGCACTCATAGTGCTGGGTACTGGATTGTTTCTCCTATATTCTGCACTATAGAATTCTGATATAATGGATCCACCACCTTTGTTCATAAGCAAATCTTCAGTATTTGATTGGATAACTAAATCAGATGTACTATTTGATCTCTTCAGCCTAGTCTTAGTCTCATATGCAACAATGGCAGAAGCATTGTCAACATCATAGGAAATTCCTCCCTTGGATGGCACTTCCTTTTTCAGCTCTTGAGACAAATGCAGGGCATGACTTCTCTGATTATGTGGTTGATTTGGATCGTGTTGTTTATCTTCCATTTTCATGACTACTTCAGACTTCTGAGTTGGTAATTCTTTTCCCGCATCTTTTCCACTGCTTACTGCAACCTTTACTCCAGGAGCCTGAATTCCTCCCGAGGCAGAATACTTTTGGATTTTTTTCTTATAATTTCTGCCGATTGCCCACATGTTTTCAAGATTTTCAGGCATCAGAACTTCTGTTCTTCTCTGGGTAGCTGCTTCAAGGACACGAGCCCAGTCAGCAGGCCTTGGATGATTAGCCTCATCTTGAATCGAACTAGAAATTGAACTTCCTGCATTAGCTGATGATTGCTCTCTTCGATGGTCATATTGGCAGATTGAGGCATCAGTCCCTTGATTCTTGGTAGGTTCTTTCTGTTTATAATCAGTTTCTGAACATTTTACAGTGTCTGAGGGAGCACCCTGATTGCGATTGTGGCTTTCTGCTTTAGTCGATTTACCATCGCCGGACTGCTTACACCCCTCATCATTATATGCAAGGAAAATGTATTCAATCAATTCATTAATATACCTGCAAGAAAATACATCAAGTCCAACAGCAAATCAGTGAAAAGTTGATAAGGAACAGGTAATTGAAAATGGAACAAGCCAGATTGATCAACCAAAACACAAGAAACTTAATGAACTGCAAGAAACTTCCCGTTACACAAAGCAAGGCAGTTATTTATACTTGAGGGGGAAATGCAGCTAGGATAAGATGTCCTCGATTCAAATTATCAAGAGAATCTAACACCAACGCGATCATAACTTTTTGTTGAACATATTCAACATGTACGTGGCATTATAAAGGATAAATTAAAAGTATCATTTGTTCCTGACATCTGAAAGGGATATTGGTTTGTCTTTCAGATTGATTAGAAAGTCGTATCAGGACAAAGATATGCGTTTGAAATGTCCTTGAGGAAATAGTTCCCTAGATAGCAATGTTACTGGTTAAGTAACCACTAGACCTTTCAAGTTCTCGTTTCCATGAGGATAACATAAAAATGCTCTGTAAATTGTACTAGTTCTTTGAGCTTCATCCGATTGTTTCAATTCAAATACTTATCTATGTAAGCTGAAAACATATACTGTGTGCCTCTGACCTAAATCTTCCTCCTCCTCAAACACCAATGCACCAACAAAAACGGAAAAAGAAAAGAAAACGAAACAGAAGCTAAACCCAAAAATATGCTGAGGCAGGAGGGTGAAAGGTGAGTAGAAGAAAAGACTTGACTTTCCTTGGTGTAAGCATCCATCTATCTATAGAAGAAGTTATTTTCATCTCTCCCAGCCTCTTCCTATTTTCTTTTGTGTGTGTTCGGCAAACAGCCTCTCTACCTCCACGGGGTAGGGGTAAGGTCTGCGGATACACTACCCTCCCCAGACCCAACTTGTGGGATTTCGCTGAGTATGTTGTTATTGTTGTTGTTTGGGTGGAGCGGATCAAGATCCTCTCTCTTGTTTTTTTTCCAATCATCTCAGTACTCAAAAAGAAATAACATATAGAATCAGGAATAGAGCAAAAAAGAATCATCAAGAACTCCTAACCATAAAGAATGACCAAGAACAATCCAACCTTTGGACTAGCTGACTTAGTCGTTCAAGTGTAATATATTGATGACATTCTAAACATAAATACTCAAATTTCATAGCTATACAGACCCTGATATAATGACCAACAACGACTCTGAATCTAAGATATTCCACATGAAAAACATAAAAAATACTCGATACCCCTAATTGTGGAGGTAGTACAATGCGTCTTAGCTCTCACAGGTAACATTTAGTCATTTATTGTACAAGTAAGGGACTAATCAACAACTTTAGATCTTACAATAAATTAGCAGCTATAAGCCTCCTCCTTCTCTAAGTAATGCAAAATATACATATAACCTTCTATTTTGCATGGTATAAACCTAGACAACTGAAAGCATAACAGATATACATTAGACAAAGTTTTGTATACTGAGACAATTGAATTTTGATGATACACATTCGCAAGAGATTAACTCACCCGGGGCTTGCAAGATTCAGAAGAGGCTGTACCACTAAAGAAGTTAATAGTTCTCTGGCAATACATCGAACTAAGGGGCTTTGTGCTTCCCTGGGTCTTAGCACAACAGCTAATATTCCACCAATGAGCCGTTGAAGTACCTATAAAAGAAGCATTAGATAGCATGCCGAGTATGCCAACTGAGAAAGAGACAATTTTTCCATCAGAACACTCCACTCACACCTTGTACTCACTCTCAGCTGATATCAAAGCAGGGTGAAGTTCTTTAGAGACCAACAGATGGTGCTTCAACCTTTCATCCCTTTCTTCCGAAGACAATGTACCCATGACATCCACGCCAATAGCTGTTTGGTTCCTGCGGAAAAGGTCTAGGTGATCTCCTATCAGGTCCACCACATCCCTAAAGAATTAAATAACTTGGTTCAATTGCTGGTGACTCAAAATCAGTACAGCAGTCACGAATTTGAGAAACAACAGATAGAATAATGGAAGAATTATGTCTAAGAATGGCAATGGGAGCAACAAATCAAGGAAAGGCCCCACCCTGCCCGTAGAGGAGTGGAAGAGAGGGTGTATTAAGTGGGAAAATGGGCACAAATGAGGGACTGTATTCTTTCATGACTAAGTTATTGCCAATGTAAAATATAGTTCACAAATAGGATAACAAGTGAATAGTGAAAATAGTTAGCGCAAAAGCATCTCGTCTTAAAGACTTCATATTTTCTTTTGTAAATTCTTTGGATGACTTTTTTCTTTAAATTCAATTCTCTCAAGCGTTACAACAGCAATTAAAATCTGAGAAAAAGTTCCCCATTCTCAAGACTAGTAACCTTTAAGGAAGAGAGGGGATGGGCCGGTCATGGGGATATGTGTTCCCTGCCCCATTGCCATCTCTATTTGAGTCAGAGAAATGACAGGGAAATAAATACCTTGTCAACAGTTCTACAAGGTTAATTCCTTTCACTCTTCCAGATATTTCACCAAGGACATCCATGATTATTTCATGTATCAGCTCTGGTGCCTCCCTGTCAGGTGTAATATCCGAGTACCACAAATCAATCACAAAATCATGCAAAACCTTGTCAATGAACTCCTCTGCTGCTGCCTCTACAAGTGGAGAACCAATTTTCCTCTTCCATTTCAGTGTGGGTGGTGAGGTAGAAAGTCGACTATCATTCACAGATAGCTGCTTCTTTTCTAAGTGTGCCAAGTATGTTGGTGGTCGCACATTCCGAACTTTCCAACGGAAGTCCACTTCATTAAACAATATCCGTAATCCAAAAACCAACAGTACAGCTATAGGTAGATTCATCCACATCGATGTACTGGTGTCTGCGATCAAGAGTTGATCCAAAAACTATCATAATGCAACAATAGAGAGCAAATTGATGGTTGTGGCAAACAATTTACCAGAAACATTGCAAGGAAACTCAGAATTAAGTATGATAATTCGGTAAAGAGACTCAAAGAAAGATTGGTTCTTGCCATACAAAGGGTGGTACTGGTAACAAACTTGCAAATTCATCCACCTTATTTCCCTTTTCCTTATCCCCTTTTTCATGAAAATTTTGATGAAAGCTACCAAATCTATGACCCATCTGGTCATCTCCAATTATGCAGCTAATATTGGGTTCACATTTTATGACAACCTCTATGTTCTAAATCTTATGATTTGATACTAGAATGAGACTTTTAACCATGGTCACAACAAACATCTTTATAGTCTAGCTTTTTTTGTGTTTTCAGAGTCATCTGCTAGACAAGCAACAGTCTTCCGTGAATAACTCTCTTTGTTAGCCCTTTTTTTATCAAGTAAGGATTGTTAGCCCTTTATTTTATAAGTAACTTCATGAATAACTCTCTTTTGGCCCAGGAAGTAAGATCAAATATATATGTAAACCAGACACGAAATAGACTAGACTTCAAGTGACAATAAGGGTGCCTTAGTGCGAGGCGGGCTGTTCACAAGAAGCCACTACAAGTTCTCCCTTCTAACATCTCACTAAAGGTAACTCACTCAGTAGCAGTTAGATTAAATAACTTTTTTTGAGTTCCAAATGTAATTGCTTTGCTGAAAAATAAAAAACAAATTTGAAGTAGCTGAAGTGGTCAATAGAACAACACACCAGAAGACTAAACATATCATATTAAAACAAAAAGGACAAAGAATCAATAATTTGAGAGTTTTTCTTTTAAATTCAATCTCGCACGGAATTGAGTTCACTTTTAAGCATTTCACTACAGTGCCATAGCCAGCCCAATGTAAAGCTCCAACAAACACAGTAAGCAATGTCTTAATCTTCAGTCATAAAACACTACTCGAGAACACCACAAAAGAACATAAGAAAAGAGAGTTTAAGTTATATACACCGGCATTGTAAGCAATTGTTTACACTATCACGTCATCCAAATGATATCTACAAGTCTCCTTAAAATGTGGAATTTGTAATCTTGAAAAATAAGACAAGTTACCTCTACAAGACCTAATGGTGTAAAAATTGCTTACATGTATACAACTTAAACTCAATTAAGAAAGAGTCTTTTCAGGGCCATTGATCAAAGGAACGCCAAAACACGTATGAAATTATTGTGATCAAAATAGTGAAAGTTACACAGGTAACAAATTATCAGAAATAAGATGAGCAAAAAATGAAAAATAACGGAGTACCAGAAAGACCCTAATGGGCAGTGTATTTTTCTACTAAGAAGATACATCATGTGAAGAAAAAAAAGAGAAAATTGAAATTGAACTTACGTGTTAAAAAGTAACAGACAGCAAATATACACAAACCCCACCAAACCGTTCGAATTTTTACTTCTTCAATCAGATCTTGCAAGGTCTCCATGGCCTTCATTGTCTCAAACCCTAGAATTCTTCCAAGAATTTGAAACCCAATAAAATCCCAAAAGATTAGAAAGAAAAAAGAAATTGGAATCTACTGCATCAAAATCGATTGATTTAATAGGACACAAAAATCTGGTCCTAGTCAATTTTTCCCCAGTCGAAAAGCTTTGAGACCAAGAAGGAGGAGAAGATTCTGGGATCCTATGGTTTTCGGTTCTGTAGTTGGTTGCGGTGGAAGAGAGAGAAAAAAACGTGGGAAAAGGAGAGGTGAAATCGTCGTTACCAGTTGGAGAAACACGTTAGCCAACCTTTGTTTTGAGTTGGCCAACCTATTGATGTTCGATTCTTAATTCTACCACTGTCCGCAATGTTAGTTTGATGAAATTTGCCCTCTATGCTCATTTATTTTAGTCGTATCGTAATTTGACATTGTCTAACTTGTACAAAGCAATATTATAAATTTTAAGCTTTAAAACTTCCATGTGACTATTATATTTTTATTTTATTATTTATAAGCGGTTGTAACAACTCTAATATACAGATCACATTGGTAATATTATATTGATGGTAAAAGTAGTAACTAACAATGGTGGTAACTAACTATACAGCTCAATGAAGTAGAACAACATTAAGGGAACTACAAAATGCAAAAGCCAAGATAGGAGAGAACCAAGAACGGAATGAGAAGCTTGTTGAGGTTTTTGTTTTTAAGATGAAATAGTTTTAAAACGAGGGTGAATGGGAAATGGAGGAAAAATTAAATTTTTGAGTAAAATTTTAAGTTTTCCCCTCTTGACAATGAGACATTGTCCCATATTGGAAGAGGAAGAGATTTTTGGTGGGTATATATATAATTGCTCTTCTTGTAGCTCTTAAAGAGTTAAGAAGAAAGCAAGCCTCGCGCCGTCGTCGTCGTCGCTCCCTCGGCTCGGCTTCGGCTACGGCTTCGGATTCGGATTTGGTCGATTGATTGATTAATTTTTTGGACCAAATTTAATTATTAATAGTAAATATTAACGTAAGATTATCCGCATTTGTAACGGATATTTTTCAATCCGTGTATTGACCACAAGGCAGCCGCCTAATGCTCTTCCCACCAAGAATGTGCTTGCTCCACCATGGAGGGTGGACGATTGTTCTTCTTCAACACTGGCTGCTATATATATGTGCAACAATTGTTGAAGAAAGACACACAACACACAATACACAAGACTGAAATCGCTCAACAGATTTGGCTATACATTGCACTCCTTCCTTTCAGCATTTCCATACGATTTTCTGAGTTTCTACTCCTTCGTGCTGCATTGTTTTTAACTTCAAACAAAGCAACTGTAAGTGTGATTTGCTACCGAACTTTGTGTTCGCTGAAACACTGGGGTTTGAAGTACCGCTACACCAGTGTGTGATTCGTTCTATCCTGGGAGGAAATAATCCATTACCTTGGGTACTAGGAGGGGATTAAATTCCTTAAGGAAACACTGTGAATTCAGTGGGCTCGAATTATTTATTGTTTCATTACGATAACTTATATTTTGCAGAATTATTATTTACATATACAACAATATTTGCGGGACTAACAAGCTTAAGGAATTTAATATTTATTTCTGTATTTGTGTTATTCTTATTATTCTGCAAACTAAAACCTTTGTGGTTTTGTGTACTCCCGTTTTGGAGAGTAAAGCCTTCGTGGCGTTTTGTTGGAGATTAAAATCTACGTGATTTTTACTCCAGTTTGAAAATGTGTATTAAACGTTTCTTTGTGTCATTCTTTTACAGAAAAAAATGACGACTGAAAGCGAAAACCAAGCTATTCCGATGGTGACTGCCAACGCATCGACAAGCCGAACACCGGCGTTGGCACCGGCAGAAAAACCCGGAAAATTTTCCGGGATTGATTTCAAGCGCTGACAGCAGAAGATGTTCTTCTACTTAACTACGTTATGTTNTAAGTCCACGAGTGGATATGTATTCATTATTGGTGGAGGAGCGGTATCTTGGAAGTCGTCCAAATAAATATGTATTGCCCGCTCTACAATGGAGGCTGAATTTATAGCCTTAGATAAAACCGGTGAAGAAGCTGAATGGCTCCGGAATTTCTTGGAAGACATTCCATTTTGGCCCAAACCGTTGGCACCAATATGCATACATTGTGATAGTCAAGCGGCAATTGGAAGGGCTGGGAGCGTCATGTATAACGGTAAATCTCGTCATATACGACGAAGACATAAAACCGTTAGGCAATTACTCTCTAGAGGAATTATCACAATTGACTATGTAAAGTCAAGTGATAATGTGTCGGATCCACTTACAAAAGGCCTAACTAGAGAGGTAGTTGAGAAATCATCAAGGGGAATGGGGCTATGGCCGAGAACAAGTCATTGTGGCGGTAACTCTACCTAGAAGACTGGAGATCCCAAGATCTAGGTTCAAAGAGATCAAACAAAGTCATTAATGACGGTTCAACATTGTCAAATAAAATTTTAGTCCATTCTCGTGATGAGACAATGTTCAGTACCAAGGATAAAGCATTAAGGCTTTTTAATGATTTCTAAATTTGATACGGGGTATATCAAATAGTGTATCTACAGGATGACACGTTTAGGAATCACCTATTTAAGTGTGAAGTGTGAGCCGCTTCAAGGAGAACTTTGTAAGGCCAGTTCTCTACGCACCTATGAAACCAGGCGGTGTTCATGGCTGAAACGAATACAACAATGAGAACCAAAGACGGTTAAGGGTTGATTGTGTGACTTATGGTTGTCTAGTTTACACCAAAAGATCGACGGTTCAAAGATATCAAATCTACCGATTGACCGAGTATATCCGACATAAGTTTACTACGGAAAGTTCAAAGGGAAACCTACTTATCCAGATGCAATTAATCCTTGCTTGTAAATCACACAGTTTTTCATGCATACTTCCGTGATATAGCCATTCCCCATTCATGTGGGGGATTGTTGAGGTTTTTGTTTTTAAGATGAAATAGTCTTAAAATGAGGGTGAATGTGAAATGGAGGGAAAATGAAATCTTTGAGTAAAATTTTAAGTTTCCCCCTCTTGACAATGAGACATTGTCCCATATTGGAAGAGGAAGAGATTTTTGGTGGGTATATATATAATTGCTCTTCTTGTAGCTCTTAAAGAGTTAAGAAGAAAGCAAGCCTCGCGCCGTCGTCGTCGTCGCTCGCTCGGCTCGGCTTCGGCTACGGCTACGGCTTCGGCTTCGGCTTTGGATTTGGATTTGGATTTGGATTTGGTCAAATGATCGATTGATTGATTAATTTTTTGGACCAAATTTATTTGTTAATAGTAAATATTAACGTAAGATTATCCGCATTTGTAACGGATATTTTCCAATCCGTATATTGACTACAAGGCAGCCGCCTAATGCTCTTCCCACCAAGATTGTGCTTGCTCCACAAACAAGCTAATGCTTGTTCCACCATGGAGGGTGGACGATTGTTCTTCTTCAACACTGGCTGCTATATATATGTGCAATAATTGTTGAAGAAAGACACACAACACACAATACACAAGACTGAAATCGCTCAACAGATTTGGCTATACATTGCACTCCTTCCTCTCAGCATTTCCATACGATTTTCTGAGTTTCTACTCCTTCGTTCTGCATTGTTTTTAACTTCAAACAAAGCAACTGCAAGTGTGATTTGCTACCGAACTTTGTGTTCGCTGAAACACTGGGGTTTGAAGTACCGCTACACCAGTGTGTGATTCGTTCTATCCTGGGAGGAAATAATCCATTACCTTGGGTACTAGGAGGGGATTAAATTTCTTAAGGAAACACTGTGAATTCAGTGGGCTCGAATTATTTATTATTTCATTACGATAACTTATATTTTGCAGAATTATTATTTACATATACAGCAATATTGATGGGACTAACAAAGCTAGATTCAGAATCGAAAATATTTTTCTCAATAATACTTCTAGTCCTTTTAACCGGTTGTCAATTGGGTCTGGGCACGCGCATTGCGCGTGTATTCCATGTGAAGATCATTTTTTTTTTTTGTAAAAATCACATAATATATCGTTGAAAAGATATAAAAAGTTTTATAAACAAATTATCTTTTTTATCTATTACTAAGCTAAATCAGATAAATGAAGATTTGGTTTATGAATACAAATAGAACATTTTCAAAACCATAGTATTGAGGATTTCATTATCCTCATCCGAAAATGGATCTGGTGAGACATAGATAATCAAGATTTTTTATTCAAGATCTTGTTTGAAAGTAATTAATTGCATCATCAGTAATCCTATTTTACTCAATTAACTAATTTTTCTTTTCATCGTTCTTATATTACACAAGTTAGTCCACTTTGTGAGTCCTTAATTGGTTCTAAAAAGGTTTTTGAAGTTTAGGAAAGATTTTCTAGGAAATGTGCATGTTTGTTGCAAGTGTTTTTAGAAATTTTTGATTTATTACCAACAACATAAGACTCAAATGAGGAATAGCCAAATCAAGCTTAGCAGCCTGTAAACAAATTCTAAAAATAATGGCTTAGGCAACATTGATATTATTTGTTAGGATACAAGAAATAACAAATCATACAGTTAATACTGCAGCTTCAATGTGTTTGCGAAAGAGTAACAGAAGGGATAAATATAATGTAGCAATTAAATCAGAAAATAACTCTGCTATAAGAAGTTAACCAAATATTCAACTGAATAACTAGGGTTTTATTCAACCAAAATGAAATCCACCTCCAGGGTAAAAAAGGAAGCAACCATAAATATACAGCAAGACCAAAACAGCATCTCTAGAACCTTGGTGCTTCATGCCATCATCTAGTTACATAAAGTAGCAAATTTATAAAATCAACAATCAATCCAATGTTAATTGAATAACTTTTCCTAATGCATGTAAAATAGCAATTCTTGTCTTCCTGGTGAAAAGAACAAGAAACAAATTTGTTGGTAACCTCTATTCATGTACGTTTCATTCTTGAACCCAAAGTTTTGCTTACTACTTTAATAACACTCGAAAAAAATAATATGGATGCAAAAAAGAAAATTTTTTCCTAGCAAAACCATTATTATCAATGTCTGCAGCAAGAAACTATCAACAATCTGGCATTTGCAGCCAGAAGAGTGGATGATATGCAAGCATATAGGTGGCCAAGGGCGCCCAAAGGAAATATGTAACAAGATTCCTTACTGATTTTCTAAGATGAAAAATGAGAAAAATAAGCAACTCAATAGCTTGTCCTTCAACGTATGAAGTTAAGAATTTATGAACAATCATTATAGTCATATCAAACATTCTATGAATCTGGTTAGGAATACCAAAAGATATTCCGACTCTTCCTAATCTGCTAATTTAGTGATCGAGCAATAATGATGTTTAACCGCCGTTGATTCA